CGACGGATCTAACTCCCCTCCCTGTGATCACTAGATGCACAGTGAGTGCCCTGCTTAACATCGCAGGAAGTAGAATTCACTGCTCCACCTCAAACCGTGCTGCAATTCGTCGCTCACATCACGAACTAACACAATCAAAGTAGATTGTGTTAGTTCGTGAAACCACAGTAGCGCGTCAAAACGAGCGCGTATTGGTTGTCAAGTAATTTTGTATTCTTTACCACTCAAAAAGTCTTTAACAACAACAGCGCGTATTTTGACGCGCTTTTTTTATTTCACGAACTAACAATTGAATTTAATTGTGTTAGTTTGTGATGTGAGCGACGAATTGTACTGTATGTTATAAGACAGTCCTAAAAAAACCCATCAACATACCATTTATTTCATCGACTGCAAGGTTTTGTACTTTCTCTGTTAAATTCTCCAAAGTGTTCTGCTCTTCCTTAACTGTTCCTTGCAACATCCGTTGACCTTCTTGATTATTATCGTCTTTCTTGAGTTGCTTTTGGTGTTTTTGATTTTGTTGTGATTGTTTTTGCTGCTGCTGTTTTTTTTTCCCCTTTTTTCCTTTGACATCTTTGGGAGGTCCTGCTGACTTTAAGGGAGAAATAAGCACAGTAATAAAATTGATGTTAACAAAAAATATTGGGTAGCATTGACATTGTTAGTCTATGAGTGAGATACTTACCTGAATAGCTCCACATCCCCCTGCATATTGTTGTTTAAGGTCCCACAAAAAAAAAAATACGCAAACACATGCATTTAGCATGTCATTACTTCAACTTCCATACAAATGGTACTTTCTAATAATTATTTAAAAGGGCACTTCTGTAAAGGGGGTTGGGGGTTATTTTGAACCCCCACGAACCCTCTGGCTACGAGGCTTGCATGTTAAGGAGGAGAAGAAATCAAGAATATGTAATACTAACAGCAAGCAATTCCATTTTAAACTGTCTTTCTTCATCATCTTGATCTTGGTATTTGGCTTTTATCTTCTTCTGTTTTGACTATAAAAAAAATAAAAAATAAAAAACATTATGAAATTAATTTGAATTTATCTTGAAGATTTGGATATTGTGAACTAGCTTGTCTGTCCCTCCCTTCACAGCAAATAATGCTTCGCGTCATGCTTTTTTTCCTCCTCAACTGTCTTCTCATCCTACTGTGCTTCCTCATTATTCGATTGGCCCCAGAAACATATGAAAAACTTAGATTGATTGACGGAATTTATTCGATGCTCAACAGTAGGCCAGAGTCCAGCCCAATTCCAATAGGGTTAAAGGTGGTCACACTAAAAGTTTTCAATGCCTGATAAACTTGGAAATTATGACACAATTTGTATTGCACTAATGATGGAGTTTCACATCACTTTGACAAGCAACTGCAAAGCCTTAAGAAAATGGAAAACCAAAAGGGTAT